GTGATATAGAGCTGCTCGGTGGCGCTGTTTTATTGGTTAAAGTTCAGCCTCTGAACGCCATGACGGCTGCTGTTGTCAGCATTCCGAGTCACGTTGGAGAGCTCCGTGGTGCTGAAACGGCTCAGGACAGATATGCTGGCAATTTTTCACATTCTTACGGATTTTTTATTTTTTATTTTACTTAAATCGGTTTGGACGATTGCCTGAGCGTGTGGAACATAATTTTCCCGATTTTTTTTTTTTTTTTTTTTTACTGCTTTCTTCACTGTAACAATGGCTTTTGCTCTAACAAAGGGGGCTTTGCAAAGGTATGTGCTGCTCTTCACTCTTTTTATTTTATTTCGTGACATTTCGAGCTCTGTGAATCATTACTCTATACCTGAAGAGATGAAGGAAGGATCGGTCGTTGCAAACCTCGCTGCAGATCTCAGTCAAGACGTCACCACACTGACAAAGAGGAAAATGCGGCTCGACATCGTCGCTAACAAGAAATATTTGGATGTGAACAAAGAGACTGGGGAGCTGTACATTGTAGAGAAGATTGACAGAGAACACATATGTAACACAAAAGCATCCTCGTGTTATTTAAAACTAGAAGTAACGTTGGAAAATCCTCTGCGGATATTTAACATTGAATTAGAGGTGCTAGATATGAATGACAACGCCCCGCAGTTCAGGAGAGACTCGATTCATTTAGATATCTCTGAGGCTACTCCAAAAGGAGAGAGGTTTTCTCTCAGCAATGCTGTTGATCCTGATGTTGGCTCGAATTCTGTTAAAACCTATCATTTGAGTGAAAATGAATATTTTAACATTGAAGTTCAAACAGGAAGAGACGGGTCAAAATTTGCTGAACTGATAATGATGAAAGCCTTAGACCGGGAGCAGCAGGCTGTTCATAATTTAATACTAACAGCTGTAGATGGAGGAACACCTGCTCGCTCAGGCACTGTTAGCATCATAGTTCATGTTTTAGACACTAATGATAATGCTCCTACATTTAATAAATCAATATACAACGTCAGAATAATGGAAAATTCTCCCATTGGAAGTCTTGTTCTCCATCTTAATGCAACAGACTTAGATGAAGGATCTAACTCTGATCTAACATATTCAT